GACAAAGATTTGTCCTGACTGTGGGCAAAGCAGGAAAACTCTAGCTACAGTTCTGGGCTGGTGGGCTTTGACCCAGGCCCTCCCCAGGTTATCTTGTGTTTCTGTCTTTCCTCTCATCATCTAGGTATCTCTTTCTATCTAAATAGTTCTCACTTCTCTCTCCTCAAGAGTTCCTTGGTCATAAATGTGGGGGTGGGTCTCCCACAATTTTCTTCTTCTCAGTAGGTAGAATGTTATACACCATTCTATGGTGATTTTGCCAAAAGTGCACATGGATGTTTTATATGAGAATGGTGATAACCAGTGAGCTACAGAGAAGATGGAAAGGCCTCCCCTTCCCCTGTCTGAGTCTAGACCCTCAGGAGCCTGTTTAGATGCCCCCTATACCCTGGACCCCCTTGATTGAGACTTCAGTTGGGAACAGCTATGGGAACTGGAAAGACAGTTCAAGCTGGAGCCATACCCAGACCTTGAGGCTCGAAGGGTCCTGGCCACCAGACTCAACCTGAAGGAGGAACAAGTTGAGACTTGGTTCATCCAGCGTTCCTTGGAGCAGGAGATGTGCCCTCGAATTGCTAGGCTACAGCAGTCTGTCCGTCCTTCACTGAAGTTCATGGCATGGAGTCCTAATGTAGATTTTTGTAGTTGGGGGCAGTGTCATGTAGTCCAAGCTGGCTTCAAACTCCTTTTGTAGCCGAGGCTGGCCTTGAAGGTCTGCTCTTCCTGTCTCCAACTTCTGAGTCCTGGGACTATAGGTGTGCACCACCATGCCCTGCTCAGAACGTTTGCTTGATCTTTTATTTTAATTATGCATATGTGTGTGGGGTTTTGTGGATGTGAAGTTGGTACCCACAAAGGCCAAAGGGGTGCATCAAATCCCCCAGAGTTGTGAGTCCCCTGACGTGGGTGCTGGGAGCTGATCTCAGAGCCTCCACGGAGCACTCACCTCAGCGGCCAGGATTGCTTTTTGTTGTTATTGTTAGGGGGTTTGTTGTCGTTTGGTTTTACTAGAGGCTTATTTTATCATCCTTTCCTTCAAACTATCCCGACTACGGCAGACCTGTCTGTGAAGATGCTATCAAGTGTGTGTGTGTGTGTGTGTGTGTGTGTGTGTGTGTGTGTGTGTGATGTATGTGTTGTGTGATATTTTGTTTGTGCTCTGACAAATAAAGCTTGTCTGGAGATCAGAGGGCAGAGCTAGTCACTAGTTAACCATAGAGGCTAGGTGGTGGTGGCTCGCAACTTTAATCCCAGCACTTGGGAGGCGCATGCCTTTAAAACCAGCACAGTCGAGAGGTGGAGACAGAAATATAAGAGGAGTGGAGACGTGATCTTGCCCCCCCCCTTTCTGTCTCAGGATTCATAGAGGTAAGAAGTCTCTAGTGGCTGCTGCTCTCCTTCTCTGATCTTTCAGGTTATGACCCCAATATTTGACTCTTGGTTTTTATTGCTAAGACTAATTAGGATCATGCTTCATGTGTGTTTGTGCATATTCAGCTTGGTTATTAACTGTTCAACATTGGAGATATATATATATATATATATATTTCATATATATATATATATATATATATATATATATATATATATATGAGAAATAACCTGTTTTAAGACAACATAACCCCAAACTTCTAAGACCTTTTCTGTTGGCAGTGCAATTCTGTCCTTCATAATATAGTCTCAGGATTTAATGAATGAATAAAGTTGATGATATTCTCCGGATAGCAACCTCCGGGGGAGCGGGGTAAATTGGAGCAGCAGTGAGGAAACTTCACTGTGAATGAAATCAGCTGTTTGCGGAGCATTTTACACTGCAATGCTACTTCAGAGCCTCCATTAGTGAGTCAGCTGATACACCTGGTCACAGCTCCGGCCGCACACAACCAGGCAATAAGCAGCCTTCACCCCGTGGCCGAGCTTACGGGAGTCTCCAAACTTCCAAAAGCTCTCCATTCCCAGAGTTAGCATGGCTAATGGACTCGGCAAAGGCTTGGATGTGAAATAGTTAGTTGCAGGGAAGTTTTGGTATTCAGGAAGCTCAAAAGGGATGCACATGCTGGGTCACTGCCCCTGAGTGTATCTGCACAGTGGTTTTGCTTTTTAAGGGTTTCAGCCAGTCTGCGGGTCAGGCTGAACCTTCCTCGGAATCTGACTCGTTCCTTACTAGCACGGCTCGGTTTCTCTTCCCTCTGGACTGATCCTTAGCAGGAAGTGAAAATGAATCTCAGTGGAGAGTCGGTCAGAGAATCGAAAGTAAATCCATCCAAAGGAAGCCAGCGTGCCCACATTTCCCTTTGCTACAATACTATCACTGTCAGGGCTGCCTGCGACATAAATAGAAAGGTCAAGCAGCTTCCTCACAGTCCCGGGTGAATGCTGCCGGGAGACCCTAGAGACAGCAGCATCCTGCTGACCAGCCCTGAGCCTGCTTCTTTCTACACTGGGCTTCAACGAAATGGTTGCAGGCATCCGGCGGCCTTGCTACGCAGACTGGAAGGGGCTGAAATTCAGTTAAAGCTAGGTTCTCTCTAGAGAAAATCAGTCCTGTGCAGTAGAGATGTGGACAGGGTCAAGAAATAAGACTTTACCATCTTCCTCCTGGCTTAGTGCTTGGTAAGGACCGGAGATGTCGGATGTCTCTGACTTTCCAGGAATCCGAGTATGGCCTTCTTGTACTCGAGCTGGGATGCGCCTCTCCACAGCTATAATTTAAGACCGTGTGGGGGAACTCACTAGAGATTGTCTTAGACTGGGCAGTTAGTGTTCCAGGCTGGATGCTCAGACTCCACACTTGCTTCCAGGAAAATACAACAGTAACGGTATAGTGTGACACACAGCTAATGTCAAAGTGAAACGCTACTCTTAGCGTTTTTTCTCAACTTGACACAAGCCAGAATTGCCTGAGGCGAGACACCTCAGTTGAGAAAATGCCTCCACTAGATTGCGTATAAGGAAGCCCAGCGTTATGACTGATTGGTGTGGGAGGGCCCGGCTCACTGGGAGCAGTGCCAACCCTAGGCCTGTGGCCCTGGGTGGAATAAGAATGCAGGCAGGGCCAGCCATGGGGACCCTGATAGTGAGCAGCGCTCTTCCACGGCTTCTGCTTCAGGTCCTGCCTCCAGGGTCCTGTCTTGGCTTCTCTTCATGAAGGACTGTAAGCTGAATAAGCCCTTTCTTCCCAAGTTACTTTTGGTGACCACGCTAATCGCAGCAACCCAAGGCAAACTAAAGCAAAGCCCCTGCCTGGAAGGATCCGGGTCACTGCGTCTGGGCCCACTGCCGACACACGGCTTGGGTGGCAGCCTTCCTCCCTAGCAGCAGCAGGTGTGAAGAGCTGAGAAGGGGAGAGCCGGCATGGTCCCCGAGTTACAATCATACTCTTTCCCACAGCACGATTCCCCTCCAGACCCGAGTCTTTCTGCCTAGGAGGTACCGCCATCAGTCCCAGACCCCAGATTTCTGTCCTGTCTTCAGAGTCAACAACAGCCGCCCAACTGGACAGATGAGATTCGAGGTCTGTGAGAACAACAGCTGCCTGGATCTTCATTCTCCCCACGTGGTTATGGCCATTGGTTCAGCTCAGCAATCTCCCATGGAGAGGCTGTTTCCTGACTGTAAGACCCTCGATGCCCCCTCCCTCAAGCCGCTGGTTTAAGAGGGATTTCTCTCTCGTACTCATATAGACACCCTGTTTTCCAGACGTTTTTCTCCTTTCTGTGGACGAACGATTATGGATTAGTCAAGGCTTCTGAGATGAGTCCCAACTGAGAGCCCAGACATTCAGATCCTCTTCACTCCCCACCAGATTTGGGTAAAAGCCCAACACTTAAAAAACAGAAACAAAACAAACAGAACCCAACCTCTGAGGGTCGTTTAGAAGAAATACTGCGGATGACACAGAGGGCGTTTGCTTCTGTTGCCCAATCCAATCACATGTCTCCCCGCTTCCGGGGCCAGCTCTTTTTCATAACTTTCTTCATGATGTGGTTGGAGAAGACATCGGACATCTTTTTTCAGAATATTCATATTCTGAAGTGTTCGCACAGGACTCCTCGGGCCCCTCGGCTCTGGCAGGCCTTGCCTTCTCCCCCATTTCCCCTGCCTTGCTAAACCGTTAGATTACATTCCTGAAGCCAGCCACCAAGGTCCAGTACCTTATTCGGCCACTTCCTCCTCCTGACGCTGACTACCAAGGTCCAGCTATCAAAGTATTAAGTCCAGTAATCAAAAGTTTCCTTTGGATCACCTAATTAACATGTCCAATTAAAATTAAACCTGAAGCTAACATGGGGTTTCCTCTTTGTTAAAAACACCAAAGAGCTGGAGAGATGGCTCAATGGTTAGGACCCACATCCGAAGGCTCACAAGTGTCTGTAACGTCAGCTCTGGGAGGATCTGACCTCTGAGAACACCTGTGCCTCCTACACACACACAAGAGAATTAAAAATAAATCTTAAAACAATTTTTAAAACACACATGAAATATACAGAGACCATAACAAGCCATCCATGTTCCGCACACTTGACACTGCTGTTATTGAAGGGACACTACCCCCTCCAGCATGTGGCTATGGTGGGCCTTGCCTTCTCCCCCATCCCCTCTGCCTTGCTAAAAACCTTTAGATTACATTCCTAAAGCCAGCCACCAAGGTCTAGTCCCTTACTCGGCCACTTCCTCCTCCTGACGCTGACTACCAAGGTCCAGCTATCAATATATTGGAGTCCAGCAATCAGAAACCCTCTTTGACTCCCTCAATTTAGACGCCCAATTAAAATCGAACACCTCAAGCTAACACAGGGTTTCCCCTCTACCTTTATAAACCGGCATTTCCTAGAGGCCACATCTGTCTCCTCTCTATCCAGAGGCGGTCCTTTGTCCTCCGACACAAACACCCCATCTCCCTCTCCCTTGTTCCCTTCCCCTTCTCCCTCATCCTCTATTTCCTTTACCACTCCATCCTGGCCCATTCCAACACAGACCTCCCCTCCTCCTCTTAAAAAGTACGACCACAAGGTCGTTTGCTGCTGTTTTCTGCCTGAGTCAGAAATCAGACACTTTTCTTCCCCGATTAATAAAGGGTCTCGCCGGGCGGTGGTGGCGCACGCCTTTAATCCCAGCACTCGGGAGGCAGAGCCAGGCGGATCTCGGTGAGTTCGAGGCCAGCCTGGGCTACCAAGTGAGTCCCAGGAAAGGCGCAAAGCTACACAGAGAAACCCTGTCTCGAAAAACCAAAAAATAAAATAAAATAAAAAAAAATAAAGGGTCTCTCTGTGAAACGAGGTGTTGGTGTCTAATATAGGTCCTGCCCCGCTGTGCGGGAGACCCCTTCAGTTATAGATTATAATTTGTTCTAAAGTTCTCTTCTTCTGCAAAAGCATGCGCACTTACTGAATACCGTTGGAACAAACCAGGAAAAGCATAAATACGGCAAGATGTTTCTTTTTAGCACCTTACGTTAAGAAAAGGCTTTTATTAACAGATGGACATTGGTGGGGTCATTTTGTTTTGGTATCTCCACAGAGAAAAGACCCGAGGGGATTCTTATCACATGGAACTGGAAGGCAGGTTCAGTTGGTTTGTGGAGAAGGAAGCCAGCCCAGGCCGGTTCCCCCTCCCGCCCCCACACACCCAGAATGAGCGTTATTAGGAGGGAGAATCCGGAGAGCTGGAAGGGCCATCAGGGGAGTTAGGAGAGAGCTAGCCCAAAGTGAAGGAGCCGGCAGGAGAGGCGGGTGCCATGGACAGAACGACTTGGGAACGAGCTGTAAAGACGCAGAGGGAACGCACTCTGACTTTCATAGTCTTGGGGGAACTGGATTTGCTGCCTCCGCCCAGATCTACGCGCTCTGAGGAGGAGGTGCTCTCGGTTCTTTTGTCTCAGGGGACAAACTGCAGGTTGGGGACCCTGGCCTGATTTCGGGGAGGGAAGGCCGCCGGATGAGGGGTCTGTGTAGTCCAGGAGCTAACTGCAATTATGTTTATACCGGCGATCGAAGTCGGGGAGTGTTGAGCATCCTTGGGAGATTGGAAGAGCATTTTTTTTTTCTGGGTTCGAGGTCTGAAAGAACGAATTCTTAACTTCAGAGTTTAGTAATCATTGGCTTTTTAAAGCAGAGTCAAACTCAACTTAGCAAGGCAAAGAGCGAAAACTAGGGAGAGCGGGAGGCGTTTGGGATGGGGAGGGCAGAAGGGCCTGTTCCGTCATTCGAGACAAGGTCTCACTTAGCCCAGGCTGGCCTCAACCTCACCGAGGACCAATCTCGAGGTCTGATACTTCTGCCTGACTTCCCCACGGGTACCGGGGTTCTTAGTACTCCCACACCCAATGACATCCCTAGGCTGACGGCTTTCACACGCTCCAACACAATAGGAAAGTCACTATCAACGACGATAGACCGGCCAAGACAAAAGTCGTGGGGGTAGACCACATAGAGCAGGATGAAATACCCACTCAAAACTGAACGTAACTTTAAAAAGTAACCACTGGGAGAGAAGTTCATAGCCTTATTTTCGCACACCAAAACCAGGGGAGAGCGCGAACGCAGTCCCCCACTACCATAAATTATGCAGTCGAGTTTCCCGCATTTGGGGAAATCGCAGAGGTCAACACACCCCAAAGTGCAATGGGTGAGCCTCGCCCTGGGAAAACCACCTGCTTGATCATGGTGTCTCCCCTGCCAGGTAAGTATGCTCGTCTCCCCAACACACACCGCTCAGCCACACCGGACCTGCGCTCTCAACACACGGTCACTTCGCCGCCAGCGATCGCGGGCCTCCCCGGACCCGCGCCCGAGTCCTGCGCTCCGCTGCCACCCGCGGACCCGCGCTCCCTCCCACGCCGCGCGCCAAATCCCTCGCGTTTCCGCAGCGGGTGCGAACCGGCAGACCCTGCGCGCCCCTCATCTGCATAGACCACGCCCGCATTCTTGACAAGGGTGACGTCCCTGTCCCCAGCTAATATGAGCCCCCCACCTCGGGAAGGTGGTGTCACCTGGGGGGTCCTTTTCTGCACCTCCTCTGCATAGACCACGCCCTCGCCTTCGCGCTGTTGGCTTGGTGAACTTTGTTTCCCCTTGGTTTTTTCCGTGTAAGAAGAGCTCTGGGTATTTGATAGGTATTTGTTACACACTCAGCATTTTTCACTTCCACTTGGACATACTGTTGGTCCAAGCATTCACAGAGGAAGAGTCATTGCCCTGATTCATTTGAGTCTTTGCTTCCTAAGGACGCTCAGACAATATCATCGAAATGCTTGGTGATGACAAAACATCCACAGATATGAAGTAAAATACATCTTTTTAAGTTAGACTAGTGTGGTGGCTCACTCCTCTAATCCCAGCCCTAGAGAGACTCGTGAGGAGGGTTGTAAGTCTGAGGCCAGCCTGGGCTATGTAGTAAGACCTGCCGGGAGTAGAGCAAGCTCTGGGTGTGTGATGTCCCGAGTGGGTGTGTGCTGTTGACACCGGCATGGCCATGACAAGGACCCCAAAGCCTCAGACGAGGGAGGCAAAGCCTGTTTCTGGTCTGTGTGTGAATACTGATAGTGTGTGAAGAAAATGTCCACCATCACTTTCTTCCCCTGTATTCATGGCTCCCTACAAAGACTGCTCCTACCGAGATGAGTTCAAGCCATCCTTGGTCCAGCTGCGCACCCTAAACACCGCCTCCTTGTTTATCTGTGTGTAATAAGCCCGCCTTCCTTTTCAACGTGGTGAGCCTCCTGGCTTCTCCCTCAGAGTCCACTCCACAGGATCCCAGCTTTCCTGTGTCTGTGTGTCTGTCTTTTCTTCATCTCCTACCCATTCCGGTCTGGCCAAATCCCCCGAGCAGTGCAAGGATGCAGCCAAAACCCGCGCTCACAATAGCGGCGGCCAGCCGGAAGAGCAATAGAGTTCCGCGCAGGATTTTCCTTCCTTCTCCGCAGAACCGCGGTCATTTCAACTCGGGCTATTTGTCCCGCCTCCAGCACAGGGGTTTCTCAACCTTCCTAACCCTTCAGCACCGTTCCTCATGTGGTGGTGATCCCCAACCATAAGATTATTTTCGTTGCTACTTCACAGCTGTAATTTTGCTACTGTTATGATTCATAATGCAAGTATGTGGTTCCAGGGGGGGTCGTGACCCATGGGTTGAGAACCAGTGCTCTATAAAATGCCATTTCGTATATTTTGATTTTTTGAAAACATTATCCACACTAAAATTAAAAAGAGCTAACTGCTTTTCGTTTCAAGAGCTTCTAGGTCAGAAAGGAATTGAGGCAAGCCATAATTCGTTTTCCATTTTGAAGACTCCATTGCCAGAGGCCCTCGGTTAGCTGCTGGTTAAGTAGATCAAAAACCTTCCCTCCCACTAAGGATGTGAAGGATGGATCAAATCGTTTCAGTTGCTCCTTATTTCCACTGTCCAAAGTCCCAAGAAAACACCTTCGTGGTTTGTTTTCCAACGGATGCAGTTCACCATCTTCCTGAGCTTGTAGCTCAGACTCAGCTGGCCTTAAACATGACAGGCTCTACGAGAAACAGCGTGCACGTGTTTTTAATATCTGGTCTCTGAAGACAGCCTGCTACTTAAAAGATGGGAACGCAAGGAGCTGGAGAGGTGGCTCGGGGTTAAGAGCACTTCCGGTTCTTGTAGAGGACCCAGGTTCAGTTCCCAGGACCCACGTGGGGCTCAGACACATGAGTGGGCTGGAGAAAGGTATTTTATACTCAAACAACAACATGTCCAAACAGCCTTCTGCTGCTCAGAGCTTTGCTGCTCTTCTCTCTCCACCCACCATACATCAGCTGCTCATATGGGTGGTTTCTGGATACCCACTGCCTCCCTCATCCCTGAACCAACAGTATCAGAGATAGTGGAACCCTTAAGAGGCAGTCCCTAGAGAGAGGTTTTCAGGTCATTGGAGGCATGCCTTTGAGTGGGACAGTGGGATCCCAGTGGCTTCCTCTTTTCCTGGTTGTGTGGTAAAGGATTTTGTTCTGTAGATGCAGAGACCATGAAATCTGGCCTTACCACAGGTCCAAAGGCAGCAGAAACAATCAAAAATGGTCTACAATTTCTGTGATAGGTGTTTTGTTTTTTGTTTTTCTGACACAAGCTGGAGTTCTTTGGGAAGAGGGAACCTCAGTCGAGAAAATGCCTACTGTAGGCAAGTGTGTGGGGTATTTTTCTGATTAATGATTGATGCCGGAGGGCCCAGTCACCCCTGGTCCTGGTTTGTATAAGAAAGCAGGCTGGCCGGGCGTTGGTGGCGCACGCCTTTAATCCCAGCACTCGGGAGGCAGAGCCAGGCGGATCTCTGTGAGTTCGAGGCCAGCCTGGGCTA